TCAATCGCATGTTATTAGACATTAAGGTTGAATTAGGCTACTCGGATCTAGCTGTTAGATTTTGATGTATCCTTTAATTTCCAGTTTGATTCATTGGGTTGTAATAATTTTGTATGAAACTCGGGGAGTATAGTAAAAGGGTGTGGGAGGGGTCTTTACTTTTCTTGTATCCAAGGGGTAGAAATCATGAATTAGGATTTTATTCAAACTAGAAATCCTGCCTATAGGGTCTTTAATACTGATTCAATCACATAGAGACCATGCCTATAGGATTTAACGCTTAACTTTACCACAAAAATCACCTAGAAAGCATGACTATAGGATTTAACATTCATGTTCTGTAATGACACATATAGAGATCATGTCTATAGGCTCTTGCATTTCTGCATATATAAATGTCATTAGGCAAACCGTTTATAGGCTTAATAACAAAGTTGCATATAGACATCATGTTATAAGACTCTTATTGATATCAGGAAAGGGTGTTAAAATCAGTAAACATATAGAAAGCATGCCTATAGGAAACCTCGTCTTTAATAGCATCCTTCGTTCTTAAACAGTATCGATTGCTGGAACTAGTGTCTTTATTAAAACTGGTAATTTTCTACTTCTGAAGCCCGCTAAAATTGGTAAACCTTTTTCCTATAGCCAATCTGCACTTCCCCGAAACTCGTAAACCTTTTAATCAGTCTACATCTTGAAACAACTGGTAACTCTTTTCTAAAAATCGGTTTGCATCTTTTCTCTTTGTTTAAACTGATAATTCTTTTTTCTAAAATCAACTTGCATCTTTTCTGAAACTACTGGTACCTCTTTGCATCTTTTTCCTAAAATTAATAGATCCTACGCCTAGGTTTTTTATTTCAACTCATAAACAAGGGTTGGCTAATTAATGAATTGGGTCAGTCCCTGACAACTGTATCCGAGTTGCCTAATGCAGACTCTCTGTTTAAATACATGTGTTGAACCAGTCCGCTCGCTGCTTAATTTAATCTAAGACCAAATCAGTATTTGTCAAGGCATGCTAAACTAAATGATTGTTTGACTTCTGGGGTTAATTTGAGCCTTGTATGCTTGCTTGTCCTCCCCTTTTACTTGATACTTGTTTTGAATGTCGAGCTAGAATTTTATTCTTTAAACTCTACAAAGGCGCCCATCCATTTCTTCCCCTTTAGGATTAGAAGTCCTAATACCCCGGACTAATAGGATTGGGACGGGTAGTAGCATGCGATAAGTAAACGATACCGTTCCGCGCTTTAATACCTTAACAGGGTGGGAAGGGTAGACATGGAGATGATGATTACACGTTAACACTCCGCGTACAATTGAGTACCAGTGTTGTGCGAATGATCCATGAAATGTGTAAACCTAGGACCCCTTTCTCCTTCTTTATTAGTTTAATAAATTTTTCTGAATCTTTAAAGCTATTGCATTTTCAATTCCCGCTTCTCGCATGATCTTTTCGGATTATTTGCACTAAGTACTTGACCTTTTTCTCCACTTGCACGTTTTTTACAAAATTGCTCCTTTAAAATTCAGCACTTCTTTTAACCTTTTGTGCTTCTTGTACTTGTTTATTTTTTTACATCTAAAGTCACAATTGTAGCATGGTCGGGAACCACACTAGTGGATCTTGAGGGGTGCCTAACACCTTCCCCTCGAGATAATTTCAAGCCCTTACCCAAAACTCTGGTCTGCATCTTTAGTTCTTCTAAAAGTGTCCTAATGCACTATAATCATTAGGTGGCGACTCTCCAAACTTTCAAAAAATCCAATTCCCAAAGTGGGAAAAGAGTTGTCTTCCCAAATATCGTGAACCCGATTCCGCGAGGAAAAAGGGGGCGTCGACAAGGACTCGATCTTGAGTCCTAGCACTAGTCGTGTGGACTCCTTCCTTGGTCCATCAGCCCCTGTGTTCTGCAATTGATTGGACTCATATTGGGCCCAAATGGGCAGTCTATTGCCAATTGGATTACCAGTTTGTTTGGGGTTGAATTGAATTCATTTGTTGTTAATGTGTTTTGAATAAGATTTGGGCCTCAACTTTACTTATGTACTGCCCAGCTTCAGCATTAATTCGTCTGGCCTTGGGTTTCATGTATGGAGCCCGTTTGTGAGTGTTGTTTGTTGAACAAATGGCCTTTGATAACCTTTATGAACGTTAATGTATTGTGTCGGGCAACTGGACCTTAAAATCCACAGCCCATATTTAGCTCTTGAAGCCAATCCTTATGACCTTAGAGCCCGTTTGGCTTAGCTGATTTAGAGTAGCTGATAAGCATTAGGTGCTGAAAAGCACTTTTAGGTGCTGAAGCTGATTTAAAAAATAAGCAGTTACGTGTTTGGATAAAAGTGCTGAAATTAATAATAAGCAGCTGAAACTGATTGATTAAAGTGCTGATAAGCTCTTTTTATGTTAAAATGACTTAAATGTCCTTATAACAATTTACACTACTAAAAACGTTATTTTCTTCAAAATTTTAGATTCTAAATAGATTCTACCTATTTATCATGTTATTTTAATTACAAAAATAATTATATAATATCTTTTTTAAAATATTTATATGATAGAAGTATACAATCATAAATTAAAGGGGTGAGTATAAATTAATTAAAAGTTAGAAGAACCTTAAATAATGCAACAAAATTTTAGGTTAGTATAGAAAAACAGAGCAACTTAATATGTCATCTGTTTGTAATAAATAATATTAAAACTTCATCTATCTATAAATATCTGAGTATCAGAATCACGAATTGCCATCCAAATATTATTCTCCTTGATTTTCTACTATTTTTCTCATATTGTAACGTTGACCCTTGTGGATCTTTCAACATCAGGATATCAACACGTGGCAACATATCTCTCATTCTCAGCTTATTGAATGCATTGTCCACCTTACATTTCTTTATAATGTAATTATGAATCGCCAATTGTATGCCAAGACGATATCTCTTGAAGTGTCAATAGGATGATAAAAGGCATATCTCGTTAAAATAGACACACTTGCTTTTCCATACCCCAAAATGTGCCTCTACAATGTTTCTGGCAAAGAAGAACAGATAATATTGAACATTTCTTTATGTCCATTGGTGCTCGCAATTGTCGTGTCGCATCCGCGACGAATGTCGCAAGTGGTATCTCACAATTATCCCCTTTATATTGGAGCCATATATCCCTTTATGTGTGAATATCCTGCAATAATAAATAATATTTGTCCCCAGGATGGATGTGAAATTCGCTCTGTTCACGAAGTGCCTCACCAAATTATACGGTATCATGACAGCTCTTCCCACCACCCATGCAAGAGAGAACACATTATTAAAAGTCGACAACAGCAAGAATATTTTGAGTAGATAACCTTTACGCCCAATAGTATGGTATCTCTTGACCTATGAGCATCTTGGCTTTCACGATGTGTTCTCGATCAAGTGCTTCCAATTACAATCCTAAATATATATAGTGCATTAAACGTAATATAAGTGTTACACTAAGATAAATTTTTGAAGTTAAAATGTAAAAATAATAATGTAATGTATTAAGTATGTCAACTTACTTTAAAGAAAGGGGAGATAATCGTTGATTACATTGCTTGTGATCTCCTACACCATCATTAAACTGGATGTTGTTGAATTTATCTCTTGTAACTCTTCCAATGCCTTTAAACACTAGAAAACTGCCTATGAATTGTCTTTCTCCTGAATGTTGAAAAATCTTCTCTGTACCAACTCGTTTCGCGCACCATGTGCACAAATCATCCAAGAACCATCCCTACTCTCATAGACAGAATCCACCTGGGTTACAGAACCAAATTTATCAGTTTTAGATCAATTGCTTAAATCAATGAATATACTGACTTCCTTATCTTAAATTTCATAACACCCGAGTCGTCTTCCATGTATATTCTCATTGGATAAATATATTTCCAGTGCGTTTAAGATGTACGACATGTTCCCTTGCAAATGTATTCTCTCATAAATATATCAATAACTCTTACATGCTATTTCGACCATAGTGCCATCCGATCTTTATTTTCTTGAGTTTTCCTCTTCTTCATATTTCACATTTAACAAGTCATTGGTTCCAGCATTCCACTTAAATGAAATGAAACAGACATCAAAACTGTTACAAATTAAATGACAAATGCTAACTTTCAAAGTTGATATAGTATTAAGTCCATCTTAAAATAAAACACGTAAGTCTAAACAGGAATGATTAAACCACATTATGTCTAAACAGGAATAAAATTATTAAGAAAATATAACTCTCTGCACAACTTTAAAAGAGCAAGTTTAAAATGGTCTAAGTGGCTAATTGTAATATGGGTAAGGGCATCCATCAACAACTTCTCAGGATTGGATTAATCATTATTCGGCAAGAAGGATCGTCCGTGTGGTTGTACTCCACACAGATTTCCTAGCTTCCATCAGTAGACAACATTCAAAAATGCATGTCGCATCTCTTTCTGGTGTCAACAAGTCACAGCACAATTAAAACATTTCACTCCCTCAGAGAATACCAGAATATTTTCTAAAAATGTCCATGCACTTTCTCACATGCGTGGGCTCTGAAGATTAAGATTTGTTGTCGTTAATATAACTCACTAGGAGATGTATCTCCTCCTTTAGGATAACAATTATTTTTTATCTTGCATTTTTTCACTTGACTGCTACTGCCACTGCCATCTATTGACTTTCGCTTTTTAAGCGATGGCTCAGGAAACGTAATTGAATCCATATTCTGCAAGTCATGACTTTCATCGCTTCTTTCATCATTCCATTGTTCTATGTCATTATCATAAACATCATTTGTTCCATCATCATCTTGATCTAACCCAACTTCTGACTCTTGTTCTTGAGTTGCTGCACATGCTCTCTCTCCGGTGGCAATGATATCAGTAAATAAAGCATCGTAACGAAACCATATCAGGGAAAGGTCTTTGTTCCTAAATTTTTTGTATTTGGAATTCTCCTGTAAAAAAGAATTTAAAATTCCTCTAAGAAAACAAATGAAACTAACAATTAAAATAGATATGAAATACTTATAGAAAAGGGCAAGCAATGTACCTTAATTTTTTGCTCCCACCAATCATCATCTGCAATAATTGTTTTTCTTGTGGGATCCCATCCTAAACCCGTCTCACCTCTCATCAACTGCTTAAAAAGAGTCCACTCTGCTTTCATGTGATCCCAATGGTTTTTCATTTGTTTTCTAGTATATTCTCGTCCCGTCTTCTTATTAAACTCATTTACCATATTCTTCCATCCATCTTTAGACAAGTAAGTGTTTGGCCTATTTCCTTTTCTAACTTCTTGCTCACACAATTCAATAAATTTAATATGTGCATATTCGTCCCACTTAGCATTATGTCGTTCCTCCATAATTGAATGTTAACAATCTGAAGAGATTACAAGAGTTAGCTATAAATGTACACATATAATAATATTTATGCACAACTGAAAATAAACAAAGTTCAAAAGAACGCCTTCTTGTTTTTTTATGTCACATAATTTGCGAAGCTAAAGAAACTAACAGTTAAAGTAATAGTTAGTAATAAAAGAAACATGGTGTCATTGTTTCACCAAATGTGAACAGGTTGAATAGTTGGTATAGGACTCCAAAATTCTGCATATAAAATTTGCTCAAAATAGTCCTCACATGTAGTCCAATAAATCACTTAGTGTCTATTGACAATGACACCTCTAATTCTCCTCCTTATATATTCTTTCTTGACCAACCTTAATTTTCTTGAGGCCATTCTACACCCCCTAGTGTTTACATACAGATCTTTGGATGCAAACATGTATACTACAACTGGATGCTTTTGGCCTAAGAAGGACAATATGAAAAATGAGGAAAGAACAAGACATCTGCACGGATGCAACAATTCTGAGAAAACTAATCTCACAGATGCAACAATGCCAAGAGAATTAATAATCAGTGTTCTGCTAAGATTGACAATGCAGAGGAGGAGCAGATTTCAGCGAGAAAATGTGGGCACATACGATGTATTAATGAACAAAAACACATGGCAGCACATTGATACAATACATCACGTCAAAACCGTGTCAATACAATGCCATATACCCCGAATTCAATGGGTGGTATTAGCACCAAGTGCTCATTCAGTTGAAGGAACAATTATGGTATGCACAAGCATGGATTTGAAAGATAATATGAAAAGGATAAGGCAATGTAGTGTGGTAATCTTAACTGATGATACTACAACCAAGGGAAGAGCACAACCCAGAACTTCCACAGCAACATACATGAGAGGGAAAATGTGGTGTGCTTCGCCAGTTAAATTTTATATAATTTCGACCTGCTTTATCAAGACGGGCACTTGAGTCAATGTAAACACATTGTCTCTATTAGAAGATAATACTCTACATATAACCGACATTGACAAGTTTCTTTAGACAAGTAGTTTTGGCCATCTTTCAACACTTAGCTAAATATTGTCTGACTTGTATTTGAGAGTTAAGGAAAAGAAGAGATTTCCGTAAACAAATACTGTAAAGGATTGAGTTGGGAAACATAGCAATCACTCTTGAAACAAAGTAACCATAAATATTACTGTCAATATCCAGTAGCATTAACACAACAAACATAATCAATACTGTTGAAACAAAGCAGTCTTAAGAAGACAAGTGAATTTCTTTACCACAAGATATTTATGATAGTTGCAGAGGCACGGCTGGAGAGAGCTTTCCTTCAACAATGAGAGCGCGAGAATCATCAACCCCTCTACTGTTTATAGAGAGAAGGCAACGTCTGTTTATAGAGGCATGGCTGGAAGGTAACGTCTCTTTATAGGTTTTGAAGAGTTAAACTATACGAAGAGTTTTGTTTTAAAAAGAAGTATTTTAGGGATAGAATAGTAAATATTTTGGTCAAACCTAAAGTGCTTATAAGCTGAAATTTGATAAGTTGGGGGAGACCAACTTATGGCTTTTGGCTTATTTTTGGCTTATAAGCACTTAAGTTATAAGCACTTTTAATTTACCAAACGCGTAGATAATCCAAAAAGTGCTTATAAGCCAGTTTGACCAGCTTATAAGCTTAGCCAAACACCCTCTTAGTCAATTAGCAGGACCCTTAGAATAATTTTAGGAGGGCCATCTTAGATAACACAATAGTCCATGGCCCTTCAAGCTTTAGTCGAATATCCTTTAAAAAATGAAATCGAGGTGCGCCGGGCCAAATAAAAATCACAAATTGCATGACCCTCTTTGATTACTTCCATTAAAATACTTAGAACTCGGGATGTGCCATTTAGCGAATTTTCATGGCCTCCCGCAAAGTTATCAACATGCTAATCGCTTTAGGCGCGTATTTTAATAATCTACTTTCCTAAACTCGGGTGCACATTTATGTGACCCAAATCCAAGTCTCAACGATGTTAAAATATGTCAAAAATCACGGGTGCATTTATGTGATGTGGTTCGAGACGTGTTTTAATAACGTTACAATTTTCCTTAAAATTAATTTAAAGCGGTAAATAATTTAAAATTACACTATAGGTTGAAACATGTATTAAAATCAGGTAATAAGCCAATTATGATAGTTTAAGCGACCGTGCTAGAACCACGGAATCCGGCGGTGCCTAACACCTTCCCCTGGGTTAACAGAATTCCTTACTCAAGAATTTTTGGTTCGCAGACTTCACTTGGAAAGTCGAAAATTTTCTCGATTTGGGATTCAAAATAAACCGGTGACTTGGGACACCAGATAAACTATCCCAAGTGGCGACTCTGATAAATAAATAATCCAATTTCGAATAATGTCACTTAAAGTGGAAAAACTCCCTTATGTACTATCCTCCCGGGGGTGGTGTGTAAAAAAGGAGGTGTGACAACCGTTGTCTTTTAATAATCACAGTGCCAAAATATTTTGGTTTATAATAAGTACGTGACCGATGACCATTTATGCCATAATAATGACATTATTTTTTTTTAATTTCCTCTCAAACCTCATTCTATAGGTGATTGTGGTATATACCACTAGCACGCTCATATTCTTCCAAGGATGAATATGTATTCATAAATCACATATTGTCATATTCACATCATGAACGGACCATAATCATCTATATGTGCTTTACAAAATCTCATGTCAAATCGATGACAAATATTACTTTCACAAAGTGAAAGATTATTTTGAGAAACCTTATGGTTCTTATTACCACAATAATGACGATTATAATTTCGTATATTGCCACGTCCACATCCATTGATACATTCATAGTAATAATTTTGTCTTCTTTCAGACTTATCACATACTCTTAAGGGAATGAGAATGAAGCAAATTCAATGGGACGGGTTTCTAATTCTTTGCCCACAATCATACATGAATTTGATCATGGCAAGGCATAGAAACTTTACCACTTTGGGTGGTTATAATTTCTTACAAACTCTATTATAGTTATAATCAAAATTTATTGTTTTTGCTCGTATTTAAAATCAAATTATAAAATTTCAAGAATTTAAAAGAGAAAAACAAAGTAAACTACTTACCTTAAATCCAGAATTTAATCATGAAGGAAGTTCATAGAACAATTGACAATCATTATGCTCAATCCCAATCTTCTACTCAATTGGGTAGAGTCTCGTGCTGATAACGTGTTATGAAACAATAAAAGAAGAAGAAGAGTATTGCAGAGAAAAGTAGAGAGAGAGAGAGAGTGAGAGATATCTTACTGATTTGGGATGAATTACATTGGAATATGACCCCTCTATTTATAGGGAAAAAGTGACTTAGCCACCAAGTAAGATCCCTAAAATCTCTCTAAAATATAGACATTCACCATAAATAAAATACTATTTATAACAGGTAGTCTATTCTTTTTTTTCCCAATTATCTGCTACCGCAATTGCTTTTGATGCTGAAACTATAAAGGAATGTAGGCCATGATCTCCATATTTGCTGTTTATTGCCCCTTTCTTGTGCGTTTGCAACTTTTCACCATCTCCATTCACTAATTGTTTCAGTTTCATGGTCTCACGAGTCATAATTAACCACTTGTTATGAAACAATAAAAGAAGAAGAACATTGCAGAGAAAAGTAGAGAGAGAATTCTTATTGCTTTGAGATGAATTACAATGGAATAGAACCCTCTATTTATAGGGAAAGAGTGACTTAGCCACCAAGCAATAATCCCTAGAATCTCTCTAAATATAGCCATTCACCATAAATAAAATACTATTTATAACATTCCCAATATTATTGATTTAATAAAAAGAGGAAGTTATCACAAGCTTATGGTTCAAAAATAACGGTGTGAGTCTCCTACGGATACGTGATCATGGCTATTTCTCTCATTAGGTACTTTTTGAAATCCCTTGTGATCATGGCCATTTCATCATCCTCTAGATCTGCACCTTCAGCTATTCTGAGAGCCAGGCTCCTTTCCTTCTTGGGTGTATCCATCTTTATGGTTTGCCTTCTCAGTTCATAGGCAGTGAGATTTCCAATCAGCTCATCCAACTTGAGAGTAACAATGTTCTTTGATTCCTGAATGGCCGTGATTTTGCTTTCCCAAGTTAGTGGCAAGACCCTTGTCAAGATTTTCTCAACCTTGTCTTCTTCAAGGATAATTCTTCCAAGAGACTTAAGTTTATTAATTAGTGTTGTGAACCTTGTGATTCCTAAAATCTCTCTAAAATATAGACATTCACCATAAATAAAATACTATTTATAACAGGTAGTCTATTCTTTTTTTTCCCAATTATCTGCTACCGCAATTGCTTTTGATGCTGAAACTATAAAGGAATGTAGGCCATGATCTCCATATTCGCTGTTTATTGCCCCTTTCTTGTGCGTTTGCAACTTTTCACCATCTCCATTCACTAATTGTTTCAGTTTCATGGTCTCACGAGTCATAATTAACCACTTGTTATAAAACAATAAAAGAAGAAGAACATTGCAGAGAGAATAGAACCCTCTATTTATAGGGAAAGAGTGACTTAGCCACCAAGCAATAATCCCTAGAATCTCTCTAAATATAGCCATTCACCATAATTAAAATACTATTTATAACATTCCCAATATTATTGATTTAATAAAAAGAGGAAGTTATCACAAGCTTATGGTTCAAAAATAACGGTGTGAGTCTCCTACGGATACGTGATCATGGCTATTTCTCTCATTAGGTACTTTTTGAAATCCCTTGTGATCATGGCCATTTCATCATCCTCTAGATCTGCACCTTCAGCTATTCTGAGAGCCAGGCTCCTTTCCTTCTTGGGTGTATCCATCTTTATGGTTTGCCTTCTCAGTTCATAGGCAGTGAGATTTCCAATCAGCTCATCCAACTTGAGAGTAACAATGTTCTTTGATTCCTGAATGGCCGTGATTTTGCTTTCCCAAGTTAGTGGCAAGA